TGATAAAAGTGTGTGACTTGCACGTTCCACATGGGTTGGTGGCCTGATGGGTACTCTGTCCCAAACAGTCCCCCCGAGGCCCGGGCTGATGTAGGTTCCATTATCATGCACTGTCTTGGTCACCAAGCAGGGGAAGAGATGACTGGGACGTCATGTGCCAGCTCGGTGCTAAGGCTTGGAAATAATAAGTATCACATCTGCCTACGGTCCATCAGCCAAAATAGGCACATGTCCCCACTTAACTAAAAAGAGGCTGGGAGACTGGGGGAGCAGCGGGAATGTTTGGTGAGCCGCTCTGGCTGTGCCACTGTGTAGGCACTTGGGTGAGGTGCTTCATTCCTGAGCTTATTTCCTCATCTGTAAAATAGGGATACCGGCGGTACCAGCCTCATAGAGTAGCCATGTGGATTAACTGCCATAGCAACGACAGAACGCCTAGCATTATGTTTGGCACAGTAAAGATATTCGAGGGTTTGAACTGTCAGTTTGATCTTGAGATTTTCTTACCACGGGTCGTGTCTAATTAGATTCTAACCAACAATTAAAAAGCAAATTTAAAAAAATAGCATCAATTAGAGCACATCATAGAAGTGAGAGTAGATATTGCTGCAAGACCCTTTTTAAAATTCTTTTTATTGGCGACATTGGTTAACGCGACGCAGTACGTTTCCAGTGTAAGCAGACTTTTGAGTTGTACACATATCGATACATGCGTTTGGTCAGGATGTTAGTGTATTTCCCACCGAAGGTCGCAGCTAAAGTTTGAAAGACACTGCACTGGTCTAGTCGAATCTCATTTCACAGGGACCGAAAGATTTATGCAGACCGAAGAAAAACCCCACCCGCTTGTGGTACTGCTTTTTAAAAAGAAGCAGTTCAAACTTCCACGCTTTTAAAAAGCAGGTTTGAAAAGCATCATCCTTCATTTTGAGAAAGAGTAAGGCATGGATCTGCATTTTAGCTTTGCCACTTGCTAGCCATGTGCCCTTAGGTAAGTTTTATGCTTTCTGTGCCTTAGTATTCTTGTCTATAAAATGGCGATGATAATGCCTACCTTATAGGGTAGTATTGTCTGGTTGTTGCATTAGTTGGTATGTGTAAAAACACAGTGAACCTTAGGCAGGTACCTGGAGACGTTAGGTAAAGCGACGGGCAAGCACCGTGCCTGTGGGTAGCTTTGTGCAGTGCACTGGATGCATAGCAGGTGCCTACTGCCCATGCACCTCTTTAGAAAGTGTTCGTCAGGGGCCAGTTAGTCCCTTTCACGGTACCTGACACACTCCCTGCCTCCTTGGAACCTGTAATCCAAGATGCTGCCACTGAGACAACAGCGCCCTCCCTCTTCTGTGCACTTGTCATTTCCGACTGTGCTTGGGGGCCGTGAACGTTTACATGCCGTGGGAGAAAGTAATGCATAATGCCTTCAAGCCTCGAGTGCATAATAGAAACAATAAATGGGTCTATTACAATAAAGTGTCACAATAGACGATTTTTAAAAGATCTGGTTGGAAGAACTTATTAATGAAATATTTTCCTTTCTGGTTTTTTAAAAAAAAATTTGGCCTGGAAGAGACAAGTGTCAAAGTTGTTTTTAAGATTGCAAGGTCGACTTCTCCTGCAGGGAGTAGTTGGTGTCAGCAAAGGACGTTTCGTGAGAGTGCTGTGCCTTCTGCCTGGGCCGTGGTGGGTGATGACACCTCCCTCCTGCTCAGCCCTTCGGTGATCCCGAGTAGTGCCCTGGGCCAACAGGAGTGAGTTCTGGCAGGAGAGGATTGTTAGATGATTCATGGTGCCCAGAAGCCCTGTGGGGAGGTCTTTATTGTCTTATTATCGTGACAGTATCTGTGTAGGCCTGAAGATTGATTTCTGTCACTCTCACGAGTTCCACCGGAGAGATTCTCATAACTGAAAGGGTAGCAGCTTGCTGTTAAATGCCCACATTTGGCTTTTGTTTTGACAAAAGGTATGTTAATCAGGAATGGCTGTTTGAAATCCAGAGATGTTTCAGTTAGTGATTTATTAATAGTTTAGAGGTTTTTTTTTCCCCCCTGTTAAACTGATTTAACTTCTGCAAAATGAGTCATATTTAGGGCTTCAAGCATTTCCTCTTTGACTAGCAGCAAAAAAGGTTTGTTAACGTCGCTGTCGGGATTCATTTGTGTCAGTCCGGCCACCACTGAAACGGAGGCAGAGGAAGCGTCACTTTGGTTTTCCATTATCTGACACAAGTGGACGTCCACTGTCGAACAGGCCTGCACTGTTTTTTATGACTCACCGAGAAATCATGCGGTGGTGTGATTCCTGTCCCCAGCTACCAGCGCCTAAACTTGTAATTTTCAACGTATTGTGTTAAAACAAACTTCTAATTCTGGCTATTTTTCTTTTCAAATTTATACCTAAAATTGGAAGCTCTATTTTTACAAAACACTGTCTTAGAAAAGTCATCGGTGTTGCTACCCCAAATTCTATTCCCGGGCCCGGGGGCGGGGAGAGGAGGGCCGGCCGCCTCACTGGCTGAGCAGGACGTGCGGCCTGCCAGCCGGTGGAGGTGGGGTCGGCTCTGTGCTGTGCTGGTTCTGGGCCCACGTGTCTGGCCCCGAAAGGCCCCGATTAGGGCTTTAGCTCATGGCCTTTCCTTGGCGCCCTGAGAAACGGAGCTCGTTGTCTCCCGTGGTTCTGAAGAGATGGAGGACTTATTGGACCACATCTCTTATCCTCTTCGACAAGGTGCCTGCTGAGTTGCTCCGTCGTCCAGCAAGTTTTAGGAAATGTGAGTGGAATAAGGTATCTTGTGGTGCAAACCGGCTGCGAGTCCTTCGTGTTCAGAAAAGCCGCTGGCTCTCACTGCGGCATCTGCACTTTAAATGGGATGGAGAAGATGCAGGTCAGGCCAGCACTCGGCAAACTCGGGGTGCTTCCTAGAGCGCCTCGCGGCCATGGCCTCCCCAGACCCTCTGGCTGAAGGGCGAGGCGGGAGTGATGGCTAGGATTGATGTGGATCTTTTCTGAGAGACTGAAGTGCAGGTCCAAAGGAGGCGCGACCGGGTGACCACCTCCCCAGCACTTCAGCTTCCAGTGTTGGCTTTGACCGTTCGAGGGGACATCCAGCTTCTGGCGAGGGCAGATCGGCCGTCCCCGCTGGCCGAGACCGGCAGAGAAGCTGCGTTGCTGTCACATCGCTGAGAACTGGCTGGTCAGGGAGTAACTGGAACGATGAGGCGGTCCGGGACAAGCTGGACCTCGGTGACCAGCTCTGGAGGTGAAATTCAGTGCTACCTGCCCGGGGCCACCTCCCTTCACCGTGGGGTGCTGGGTAACGTCCTCACGCACTTGGAATCGGTATGTTATTAAGAAAATCCGAAGGAAGAGAAAACATTTTTATATACAGTACGTATTTTGGGAGGGGATAAAACCCCGTGTCTCAGTGGACCCACGCAGTTCAAGGTGAAGGTCCCATGTGTGAGGAACGGTGCCTCGTGCGCCCGACTCAGCTCCTGAGCCACGCGTTCACGCAGCGGACGTGCACGGGCCAGTGTCCCCACAGGGCTGCTCAGTAAACGTCACCGACTATTATCTATTCAGCAGATACCTATCAGACGCTTGCTTGTGTGACGTAGCGGAGTTGCACAGGACAGATAAAATCCCTGCTGTGGCACCCACCTTCTCGTGGGGGAGCAGACAGTAATTAGTCAACACGTGAGAATTTCAGAGAGTGTTACGTGCCGTGAAGTACCGCACGGTGCCGGATCGGGCATGACACGTTACATCGCAAGGACAGGGAACGCAGCTCGGCGTCTGATACCAAGGAGCCATTTGCTCTTCACAGTGACCCTTTGATTGTCCCGATTTTCAGGCGAGGCAGCCGAGCCACAGGGCGATTAGGGATGTGCTGGGGAGCAGACAGAGCTGGGCCGGACACACCCAGTCATTCTGCATCCGAAGCACGAAGCACGTCCTGTCCTTCCAGAAGGCCCAAGATGGCCTGGGACAGCTGTGGGGGCTCAGTCGCTGCAGGTGGCTTTCGGGCGGAGGGAGCGAATAGGGTGCCGCTCAGAAAAGTTGCATGTAATTTCATGGACCCCAGCACGGGATACAGAATCCAACTGTGAGTATGAGCGTGTGTGAGTATGTACAGTTTATTTTGGGGTCCAAAGTGATCTTCACATCTTCAGAGGTATTGGTGACCAAAAGTGCTTGTGGAGCTGCTGCCTTATTTTAGAATTTTCTCATAGTGGTTTCTGGAAACAGGGCCGAGTTGCTCGGGTATGGTTTTAATAGACAGCATTGCCACAGCTGTTAGGAGGTGGTGATTTGGGCAGGTCAGTATGGGCAGGAAGTGGGCAGGAACTGGGCTGGAATCGTCACTGTCTCAGCGTGCCAAGCCTATAATACCATGGTGCCAGCCATTGGGTACAGAGCTCTGTGTGTGATTTAACTATCTGCTTATCTGCACACACGTGACTGTACCCTTTGGCCATATGAGTGCTCATTTGTGAAACAAGTAATTGGTAAAAAACAACAACAACCCAAACCTTGGGGCCTCAAGTTTTAACCTACAGGCAATTTTTATGTCCAATAAAGACTCACAAACATGAGCATTTTCTTTCACCATCTTCAAAACCCAAATACTTTCTAAACAGGCCCTTCAGTACCTGACAGAGAGACACCGTCTCAGTGACAGTCCGTGAGACCGAGAGGGCAGCCTGGTTCTGGGCAGCTCTGGTCTTTCAGTTTCATAGGATGTGGTTTAGATCAAGTACCTGTTTCCGCGGGAAGATTGATCCTGTCCCTGCCCACAGAGAAAGGCTTCCGGGAGCTCCTGCCTGACAGCCTTTCACGTGGTGTCTGAGCGCTGGAGGAGAGTCCTCGGGAGCGGGAAGGTGGAGACCTAAGTGCTCGGTGACGTGGCTGCTTCAAGGAGGCCGAGAGTCTGGACAGCTGAACTTGAGAAGGTTATTTAGCGCATCAGTCACTCGCATCGGGGTGGTCCGCCCGCTCACAGCAGTTTTACGGTGCGCACAGGTCGGGTCGCTGGTCCTGGTGCTCGGCTAGTGTTGCCGTGATGTATTGGGTTGAAAGTGTGGCCTAGTAAGTTGGTCCCAGATCGTGAATCAGAATGTCCAGGTGTCAGGTCTTCCCCTTTCTTCGCTCTGAGTAGAAGGGATAGGAGTGCCATAGCCATGTCTTGGCGGGGATTCTTTGTGCTGTGACAGAAAACCCGACATCTGGCTTGTAAAGGAGAATTCACTGGCTCGCATAACTGTAAAGTTTAGACTTTGATCTCACTCTAAGTGCAGGTGGATTCAGGGTGCATATAATGCCTTCAAAACTCATGTTTGCCACTCGTCAGTGATTTTATTCTTGGGTCCTATGGGCATTTGAGTTGACTTCCCAGGCGATAGAAGGGACCATTTACTCCTGACAGTGACCTTTGATAGGCACTGTTAATTCTCCAGATGGCTTTCTGGTACGGTGACTGCAGTGCTTACGTCACTCTGGCTGGCTTAGGTCACCTGAGTGACCCAGTCTCGAAGCCAGGGGCGTGTGAGGCTTTGGTGTGCCTGAGTCACGTGCTCCACCCAGAGCCCCACCCTAGCACGTGGCCCAGAGTGAGGGGGAAATTGGGCGATCACCTGATTGAAGAGCCTGGATGCCCAGGGGGTTGACGGTCTCTGCTGCAGGCAGCCACAGCCCTTGATTCAGTCCGAAGCTAGGAGGCGCATGTCATAGGTCTGTGGGCCGTGTGATGAGCTAGGCAGCCCGTGAACCACTTTCAAGGTCCCCACGGGTCCGTTTCGAACAAGCCTCGTGCTCCCAGGGAATGCGACCCCCTCAGGTTCTGGCTGGGCCGTGGGCTGGATCCTCTCACCCCCATGCCAGACCTGTAGAGTGGGGGCTGTCGCTCATTAGGCCTTTAGATGGGTGTTGTCTGTGGGGACATGGGGGTAACTCTTTTAGAAGAATAAGTTGGGGAAATTTAGATATAACTGAAAGATGTCCTGTGGTTTATCCCTCTCTGCCTCCCACCCCTACCCCCGTGTGCTGTACACCACGGTCCTTTCATTAACATACTGGCCTGAAATCCTTAGAGTCCTGAAATCCTTAGAGTCAAAATCCTTGGGTTTGGCAGCCTTTTTGATGTGATTTACAGTGAAACGGGTGGTCTCTTTCTTTACCTGTTTTCATCCTTCTTTGGAAGTTTGATGTTTTTTTCTTAAACATAACACCTTAATGTGCTTTTTGTAAGGATTTTTAAAACTTGAATTAATTGGCAAACATTACAGGATGACGTTGGGAGAAATACATACCACCAATACACTGCCATTATATGAGTCGACACTACTGTTTTGGAATTCAGATTGGATTATATATATCATTTTTTTGCATGCCCTTTGATCCATTGGTTCCATTTCTAGGAATTTATTCTCAGGAAATAATTAGAAATGTTTTTGTTTTAGCTGCATATCCTGGTTATTACCCCAGTATCGTTTGTAATAGTGAACTCTCGGAAGCAAGCTAAATGTCCAGCAGTGGATTAAATGGACAAATTTTGCTCACCCCCGCCCCCGCTTCGATGGAAGGCTTATCTGCCTGTTCACTGTTTGAGCAGCAGCCTCAGCCTTTCTGCGCCCTCTCTGCAGGGCTGCATGGCATTTTTGACAGATTGAATCGTAGGCTATAAATAGCCCCTGGGTTAGGTGAACTGGCTGGTGCATTCATTAGTCCTAATACCGGCATTACCACTGAATCGCTGCTCCTTTAAAGCATTGTACGAGATGAGAAGGTCGACATGAAAAAGCGTCAGTGGAAAAGTTTGCCAGATAGAACGTACGACGCGACCCCCGTTCTGTTTAGGAGTTCCACGTGCGTACCTTGTACGTGTGTGTGTTTCTGTGCGTCCGTGTGTGCTCACCGGATAGACTGCGAGGGTAGGCTCCCAGATGTTAGCTGTAGGTGATGGGGTACGGGGGCCCTTTCTCTTCTGTATGCTTCTCTGTGTTTCTAAGCTTTACGGGATAGCTGTGGAACGCCTCCGAATGTGGCAGCGGGAGAGAAAGCCTCTGTGGCTTCCCCTCCCTGGGCAGCCCACTGATGCGGGTGAGAGCGGATCCTCTCTGATTGTGCCGGTCTCTTTTCTCTCCTGCTTCCTCTTCCCGTCCACTGTGCGTTAGCAGTCAGCTTCCATCGTGGGCTTCTAGGACAATAACTGATAAACGTGGCCCTAATGGATTTGGATTTTTTTAAAAAAGAATTAGCAAACATTTAAGAGATTGATTAGTTACCACGTGGTGAACGTGAGGCCTGCTGAGGGATCGTGGCTCTGGGGACCAGACCCAGACATTCCTGGTCATTCAGGTGCCCTTTAAGACGTGCGGGCATTTGTCCTCTTTATTTTGGGTTCCTTCCTCCTCTTTCGATTCATTTCACAGTTGCCCTTGTCGTCTTTCTCAGTTGCAAAAATCAAGTCTCATCTCCGGTTAACTATTCTTCAGTTGGTTGCTGACAGCTGAATTCCTGAGCAGGTGACCGAAGTGCACAGTCAATGTGGTGACTGCGTGTGTGAGGACAAATCGTCCGCGACCCGGTCAACCGCCAGGGCGGCCCGTATCGGCCTGCTGGCTGGAAGCAGGAATCAGCGCCCATCAGGGGCACCCTTCCGTGGGGCCGATGGAGGCCATGTGCTACGGGAGAAACGAGCCGCAAGCGTAAACCAGAGGGGAGAGTGGAGCGGGCGTGCTGTTTTCACTGCCGTGCCGGGGGCACAGATCCGAGACGGCCCTCTGGCCCACGCAGGGGATGTAGCCGAGGGAGCTGGTGCAGAGGCGTAAGGAGTGGCCAGCCCAGGAAGCCGGCGCCCCTTAACGATGCCCCTTGCTCAGAAGTGGGCAGTCAGGCCTGTCCAGATGCATAGTGACAGCAAGAAGTATTCCAAGTGCTGGCTGGTGAAGTGGTGTGGCCCTTTTTTTTTTGGTTATTTTGAGTCGCGTGGGATTAAATGTGCAGCTCTGGAGCCAGAGACCAAGATGCTTGATGGTTTGGTATTTGGACACTTCATGGTACGTGCAAGTGCTGGCTTGGTTGCATTTGGCAAGTAGTGTTGGCCGTAGCTAGCCCACACTGGCTGCAGGCCGCAGGCCTCCGCTGGGTGTGTGTTCTTAGTAGTATATTTGAAGCATGCAAGGTAGGGAACGGACACGTTACAAAGAAGAATTACCTTGTGCAAAAGCTGGCTGGACTTAGGACCTACGGTTGTTTGACGGAACGATCACTAGTTTTATTTTCTTTAAAAAAGTGTTTCTCTTCCCTTTCTTCCGTCTTCTTTCTTTTTCACTTGGGAAGCCGCTCGTGTTCCTACCCAGCCCTAACTGCACCTGCTGGCTTAGCTGGCCGCAGCGCATCCTAGGACAAAAAGTCTTTCAGAGGCATGAAAATAGCCGCAGACGGGCCTCGTTTGCTTTGGCAGAGGGAAGGGCTTTCCCTCCCGAGTAGCTCTGGGTACGACCGACTCTCCAGAGGTGATCTCGTAAGTCCCAGCTTCCAAGTGACAGCAAGTATTCGCCCAGTCTTTCCTCCTCCTTACTTTTACAAGTTTACTTTCTAGGAAGTAACTTGCAAACAGACGCCACCCATTTCCCACCGTTTCCTGGGGTCAGTCTGCATCTGCAGCTGCCAGGTGGGACCAGGGGCTCTGTGGTCTCGCCCTGAGGCTCCCTAGGGGCGTGGCTTCTGCCTGCCTGGCCGCTCTGGCGCAGCAGCTGGAGAGGAGCTGTCTGAGGAGTTCATGGGCTGGTGTTCTCTGGCCTTTGGTCATGCGCATCCAACTAGCTTAGCCAACTGCTGCACTGAACGCTGGGATGGCGGGTTTGCTGTTGCTCAGGTGTGGAAATGCCAGCGTTTGTCAGTGGCTTCTTCCGAGGAGACCCTCACTGGGAATAGGATGAGAGGAGTGGATCGGGTCGGCCCCTTCTCCCACGGAGCCTCGGAGCAGATGTCGGGTGCCTCGCCGACCCTGGGTTTCGGTGCCGTCACCTGCCTTCTGGTTTCCAGCTCCCGCCTGGTCCACGGCCTGGGCCCCGGGCGACGGGCGCCCCCGCTAGCAGCTGG